GTAACTAGGATGTCAGATGATAAGAAGTGGTGCTGGTAACTAGGATATCAGATGATAAGAAGTGGTGCTGGTAACTAGGAGGTCAGATGATAAGAAGTGGTGCTGGTAACTAGGATATCAGATGATAAGAAGTGGTGCTGGTAACTAGGAGGTCAGATGATAAAAAGTGGTGCTGGTAACTAGGATGTCAGATGATAAGAAGTGGTGCTAGTTATATGCTTATATATCGAAACTGTCATTTATAGTGTCCCCAGATTTTTACCCATTTTTAAAATAAATGTTGCTTCATATAACTACTGCATCTGGACAAGTTTTTTTACAATCAATCAAAAGTTGAAAGTGAAAATGAAAGCCCAAACTTTTAAACTGAACATCTTTCTAAAGCCCCCCCAACACATGGTGAGCAATTGGTGCGTGCCACTTGTGCTGCGCTCTTTGCTTAGCAGAGCCGCCTGGCCTGCCTCTATCAGACGCACCATGAACTGTGGGATCATGTGATTAAGGAAACATTACATATTGATTTTTTTCTGAAAGTAATGGAAAATGGTGACCACGTTAATCAATCGGACTAACTATAACTGTGTACAATTTTGTTGACTTCACTGGGGGCTGCCATTTTTCTTTGTTTCCGGCTACCGGCACATGTGCATTGTTGCAATGACTTGAGCAATCGGTGCCTGCACCCCGCACACCCTTAGCCATTTGCCTCAAGAGGCCAAAAATATCAAACATGTGAGATATTTTGCTCTGTTGCGCAAGAGGCAAAAATCTCACCAAAATACCCCGATGAGAAAACGGCACAGCGCAAGTGCTTAAAGTCAAGGTACAGCATATACTTAAGAAACATTGTATCAATAAATATACAGTACATTTCCTATATTGCACACATCTTTAGCTATTTCCAAAGATATAACTCTGCTTGGGGAAATCCTAGAATCTGAATTTGAATTCTAAATGTGTATTCATGCCTAGCTTCTTTACTTATTATGTGACAATTCTAAATGTGTATTCATGCCTAACTTCTTTACTTATTATGTGACAATTCTAAATGTGTATTCATGCCTAGCTTCTTTACTTATTATGTGACAATATTAAATTTCTATGGCATTTCTAGGGGTGAAAATCAAGTGAGGCAAATTTGGACTCATTTTTTTAGAGGGGCATCTGAAAAAAAATTGAACGGTTTATTTATACCCAGATATTCGGCTATCTGCGTATTAAATTTGAAGTCTCTAACTTTATAAGAAAAGACTCCTGTATGGGCCGTACTGTACAAGTAACGTGATATAATAGCCCTCCCCCGGCCTACCACCCCCCCCCCCCCCCCCCCCCCACCCACACACACACAAACACTCTGCCCCAGAAACCCACTGACAGGTATTTCCCCTGTCCTTCAAGTTCACCCAAATAACCATAATCTACTCTCTTCACCAATCAGAATAAACTCACCTTGGGCATTAGCTGTTCGTCCAAAGACGCCACTTGTGTTCTAATGTCTAGTACTTCTCGCCGTGTTGTGACTTCGGCACATGACTGTCATGGGATAGCGAAAGTACCTGGTCACAGATGTCGCAAAAATTAAAGCATATTCTGTATTTTCAATTAAATCAGTATTGTTATTCACACACTGCAGAGTTTTACTTGACGATTTTCTAATTTAGCGTGATTTTAGCCGAATATCTTGTATTAAGTACCTGGGTGCACATTTTGTTGAAATATTGATTTGATGTTATCGGTGGCAAGTTATTACCCCAAACATGGCCGCAATTCACGTGTGTTTTTCAAGTTGCGGGTGTAATAGAACTGCACACTGCGTGGACTGGGGGAGAAATGGCCTGGTTTGCTATGGAGCTTGCAGAGCGGTGGCTTTTTATCAACCTCAGGTACACGAATTATGAGGAAAAATACACATTTTCCTTATCCAGTCTTTTGATCAAGTTGACTTACTTAAGTTATATATATAGTAGCACTTACACTTTAGTTTCGTGCGCTCCTATTTACTTGCCTCGGTTTTCTGCGTTACGTGCTTGGAACTTAATGCGTAACATGTAAGACCTAAAACTGTAGTAAGAGTATTTACAGTCTCTGATATGTAATTCTTGTGAAAACACATGAAACTTTCCGGTAGCTTACAGTCTCTGCTTTCACATTGACTTTTTAATGAACCTACCAAGTAAAAAAAAAAAAAAAAAAAAAAAAAAAAAATGCTTCCAGCTTCTTTAGTTTTGAAACATCCTTATAGCAGTTCATCAGAGTCTGTAAGGTGATTACAACCTTCCTTACATGGTAGTAATCAGGGGCGGATCCAGAGATATTTTCTGACAGTCTTCCAAATTATCTTTGTTAATTCGTCTTCAATTTTTGACCGTCTTCCAACAGAAAATAATGGATACCCGTCAATATAAACTTTAAAATCTGACCATCTTCCGGAAGATCCAGAAGACGGCCTAAATCCGCCCCTGTAATGTATCAGTTGCTAGCTTACTAGTATGCATGCAGGGTGACTGTTGATCTGTTTTCAGCAATCAGAGGGTCCGGGAGGGATTGTGGCGAATCTCGTCGCTCATGAAGACCGCGTGAACTGTGTCAAGTGGATTTCAATGCAAGATGGAGGCAAGTCATACTGAGACTTTATGCTCACTTGATAGATAATTTTAAATGGCAGTAAAATTTGACCGCAAGTGCTGTGTCAGAAAATAAAACAATTGTTCATTATCAGCAAGATATGATGTAAAAAGCAAAAATGTTTTAAAAATATATATATTATAAATAAAAACAAACTATAGATTTTCCTTGAGAATTATTTTTGAATTAATGGAAGACCAAAAATTTACAGCAAGTTTGTGAATTTAACCTTTTCCAAATCAGTAAATCTCCATGGCCTGGTTGTTTTGTGTTGCTAGATGTTGGTGACATGGTTGTTTTATGTTTCAGGAGATGAGAGAGAACTTGTATCTTGGTCTTCAGATAGAACTGCTGTTGTTTTGTGTTGGTAGATGTTGGTGACATGATTGTTTTGTGTTTCAGGAGATGAGACAGAACTTGTTTCTGGGTCTTCAGATAGAACTGCTATTGTTTGGCAAGGCACTGGAACAAAGGTGAGGACTGCTGATTGATTTGCTTCACCAATGGACAAAGTATATTTATGATTAATGTGATATTTTGTCTTCATTATTGTCCCTGAATTTCTGAAATATTTTTTTCATATTCTTTATATTAGCACATATGCAAGCTGGCGTATCATACCAGATATATTAATATACAAGTTCATTATTATGAAAGAATTGTTTCAACTGAGACTAACAGAAACTATAAGAAAAAGATGGAAGATGAAATTGAGATAATTAGGGCCTAAAATCTAGAGTGGTATCTGAAAATAAGCAAACAAATATACAGATGGAGAAATAAGTAATTAAAAGAATGTAAGGGAAAAGTAAGGCAAATATAAGTGAATGACGTGAGGTTGAGTAAAGACCCTGCAGACTTTGACTAATTTTAAGTGATATTGGATAGTTTCAGCCTGTAGCCATATTAGAGGGGCATACTGGACCTGTCACTGCTCTAGACGCCCTCTACTGTCACAACATGGAGCCTGGACTCTGTACAACATTGATTGCTACAGCCTCCTCAGATTCCACAGTAAGAATATGGCAACGTGAAGAAGGTAATTGTTCACTTTCTTTCTCTCTTTGGTTACAATTCACAAATCAAAATCTATCAAGTATATCAAACTGCATAGACAGCTGTGTTTAATTGACTATTTCAGGAGGTTTCCAGTATCAGCAAAGTATTTCATTTGGCAGTGGTTTTGCTGTTGATGTTAGCCTAGCTGTGTTACCAGGAACAACAGGTAATGTTTTGCTGTTGATGTTAGCCTAGCTGTGTTACCAGGAACAGCAGGTAATGTTTTGCTGTTGATGTTAGCCTAGCTGTGTTACCTGGAACAGCAGGTAATGTTTTGCTGTTGATGTTAGCCTAGCTTTGTTACCAGGAACAGCAGGTAATGTTTTGCTGTTGATGTTAGCCTAGCTGTGTTACCTGGAACAGCNGAATTAGTTACTATAAATTAAGTGAAATTGAAACAAAGATGCAGGCAAGTCTAATGTTCAGATATGCCATCCATCAGTAAATGAAATGTCAAATGATGTAGCCTGTTTAATGCGACCTTTGCTGCGTAGCACGTCCTCCGGGCAAATTTTGCATTGCAAGCATCATCGGCACTTAGCTTGGCAAATTCAACATGTCAGTTGTAGGTACATATTATATCCATACTTTTTCTTTATAAAGTGAAAAAAGAACAAGCCTGCAGCTCAAAAATGTGTAAGTTCAGCTATTTTTCAAGTAAAGAAATCGCTGCTCTACTTCCTTGTGGTCTCCATATTTTAACCCCACCTTAAGGCAGATATTGTAAAATCACGGTAAAAATTGGTCTTCTCGTTGAGAACCCGGACAACCTCTATTCTAAATGTGTATTCATGCCTAGCTTCTTTACTTATTATGTGACAATTCTAAATTTCTATGGCATTTCTAGGTGAAAATCAAGTGAGCGAAATTTGGACTCATTGTTTTCAAGGGGCATCTGAAAAAAAATTGAACGGTTTATTTATACCCAGATATTCAGCTATCTGTGTATTAAATTTGAAGTCTCTAACTTTATTAGAAAAGACTCCTGTATGGGCCGTACTGTACAAGTAACGTGATATAATAGCCCTCCCCCGGCCTATAGTGCCAGACGCAGGGTAGAACCGGCCGGATAGCTCAGGCGGTAGAGCACTTGCCCTGTTAGCGAGAGGTCCCGGGTTCGATTCCTGGTCTGGTCGGTGATTTTTCTACGCTCTCCCAAAAACGCGCTACCTCCCCCCCCTCCCCCCCCCCTCTGTTGTGATTGTGCCGGAAGCACTCCCCGAACAACGGAGACGAGTCTAAACCACCTGGCGGGAGTGCAGTATATTAGTAGACGAAGAGCAGTTCGAGCCACGACGCGAGAGGGTGCGGACTCGCCTACACATCTTTCTACGACTACTGTATATACCCACACAGTTACACAAGGAGCTTCGACCTGTGAATACGGAGAGCGGATCTGGCGACANTTAGTGATAGATCAAGAGTGTGTGACGGTATGTCATGCAGATAATTGTCATATGACAGGCATTGGTCCTTTACTGTCTTTGACTTTATCCTCTAATGATCATTCACTTGGATTGTAAATATTCCCAGAGTCACAGTGATGAATCAAGAGTGATGCCTGTGTGACAGTTATAATATTGTCATGCTGGAATGGCTGAAGTCATGAGACGTCATTCTCAGAATTTGTCAATTGTGTTCTCTGAATTACAGGAATCTTTTGTTTTGTTTTTGTGGATTCCTGTGTAAATAATTATTTTTGTCCATGCTGGAGTCATTTTTGTTTTTGTAGACTCTGTCTTTGTAAATATGTAAAGTAACTTTGTTCATATTGGAGTCATTTGTTTTGATTTTGTGGACTCCCTTGTAAATCTGTACATGTACCGTTTCTTTGTGTAAATATCTTTTTAACTTGTATATATTTCAAGAATTTCAGGTGAGCACCGCTGGAATTGCTAAGGAACTGCTTGAATGATTCTATCAGGAAAAACTTGAAGTAAACTCATCTCTTTCAAATAAAGAGGGGAGGAGTGTTGTGATTGTGCCGGAAGCACTCCCCGAACAACGGAGACGAGTCTAAACCACCTGGCGGGAGTGCAGTATATTAGTAGACGAAGAGCAGTTCGAGCCACGACGCGAGAGGGTGCGGACTCGCCTACACATCTTTCTACGACTACTGTATATACCCACACAGTTACACAAGGAGCTTCGACCTGTGAATACGGAGAGCGGATCTGGCGACATAGAGCAGAGCTAAATAAGGACACTCGGTGCGAGGAGAGGACACACGAGCCTCGAACGGAGGACAGATAGCTCGCATAAACACTTTACCTCCAATCACACACACAAACACTCTGCCCCAGACCCACTGACAGGCATTTCCCCTGTCCTTCAAGTTCACCCAAATATCCATACTCTATTCTCATCACCAATCAGAATAAACTCACCTTGGGCATTAGCTGTCCGTCCAAAGACGCCCCTTGTGTTCTAATGTCCAGTACTTCTCGCCGTGTTGTGACTTCGGCACATGACTGTCATGGGATAGCGAAAGTACCTGGTCACAGATGTCGCAAAAATTAAAGCATATTCTGTATTTTCAATTAAATCAGTATTGTAATTCACACACTACAGAGTTTTACTTGGCGATTTTCTTATTTAGCGCGATTTTAGCCAAATATATCGTATTAAGTACCTGGGTGCACATTTTGTTGAAATATTGATTTGATGTTATCGGTGGCAAGTTATTACCCCAAACATGGCCGCAATTCACGTGTGTTTTTCAAGCTGCGGGTGTAATAGAACTGCACACTGCGTAGACTGGGGGAGAAATGGCCTGGTTTGCTATGGAGCTTGCAGAGCGGTGGCTTTGTATCAACCTCAGGTACACGAATTATGAGGAAAAATACAAATTATCCTTATCCAGTCTTTTGATCAAGTTGACTTGTAAACTTAAGTTATACATACAGTAGTAGCACTTAGGCTTCGTTCACATGCAATGTCTATTTTCTAAATTCTATTTTCTATTCGCGCTATATTATGATCACGGTCTGTGGACTGAATATACCGCCGCGTAATTATTGGCAGCGNAGACATTGCATGTGAACGAAGCCTTACTGAGTACACTTCGGTTTTCTGCGTTACGTGCTTGGAACTTAATGCGTAACATGTAAGACCGAAAACTGTAGTAAGAGTATTTGCAGTCTCTGATATGTAATTCTTGTGAAAACACATGAAGTTTTCTGGTAGCTTACAAACAGTCTCTGCTTTCACATTGACTGATAAATGAACCCACCAAGTAAAAAAAAAAAAAAAAAAAAAAAAAATCTTCCTGCTTCTTTAGTTTTGAAACATCCTTATAGCTGTTCATCAGAGTCTGTAAGGTGATTACAACCTTCCTTACATGGTAGTAATGTATCAGTTGCTAGCTTACTAGTATGCGTGCAGGGTGACTGTTGATCTGTTTTCAGCAATCAGAGGGTCCGGGAGGGATTGTGGCAAATCTCGTTGCTCATGAAGACCGAGTGAACTGTGTCAAGTGGATTTCAATGCAAGATGGAGGCAAGTCGTGCTGAGACTGTATGCTCACTTGATAGATAATTTAAAATTGCAGTAAAATTTGACTGCAAGTGCTATGACAATAAATGAAACAATTGTTCATTATCAGAAAGATATGATGTAAAAAGCAGAGAAGTTAAAAAAAAACAAAATATATCTTAAATAAAAACAAAATTTGATTTTCCTTTTGAGTTATTCTTGAATTAATGGAAGACCTAAAATTTACAGCAAGTTTGTGAATTTAACCTTTTCCAAATCAGTAAATCTTCATGGCATGGTTATTTTGTGTTGGTAGATGTTGGTGACATGATTGTTTTGTGTTGGTAGATGTTGGTGACATGATTGTTTTGTGTTGGTAGATGTTGGTGACATGATTGTTTTGTGTTTCAGGAGATGAGGCAGAACTTGTATCTGGGTCTTCAGATAGAACTGCTGGTGTTTTGTGTTGGTAGATGTTGGTGACATGGTTGTTTTGTGTTTCAGGAGATGAGACAGAACTTGTATCTGGTTCTTCAGATAGAACTGCTGGTGTTTTGTGTTGGTAGATGTTGGTGACATGATTGTTTTGTGTTTCAGGAGATGAGACAGAACTTGTATCTGGGTCTTCAGATAGAACTGCTATTGTTTGGCAAGGCACTGGAACAAAGGTGAGGAATGCTGATTGATTTGCTTCACCAATGGGCAAAGTATATTTATGATTAATGTGATATTTTATCTTCATTATTGTCCCTGAATTTCTGAAATTTTTTTTTTTCATATTCTTTATATTAGCACATATGCAAGCTGGTGTATCATACCAGATATATTGTTACGCCTTCGCAGCCGAGTGCCTTATGAAGGTACAAATAACAATGTACTTACTGGTGTCTCAGAGTATAAGCACAGAGAGAGTCAAGAACACAAAGCCAAATAGCCCAAAGAGATCAGCACCAAGAGAAGAGACCGATTTATTTCACGTTACACCTTATATACAAGTTCAGATAGTACACGTTTACCAATCAGAACCAACTATACAGTGAACAGTTTTACCTTTAGGTTACCAATCACGGGAGAGATTCAAACTTGCACACCGGACAACACTACTTACAGAGACATCTACCGGTAGCAATATAAAATAATCTCAACTAACACACTACATTGTCACACTCTCCCCCCTTTTGACGAACAAAACTCCCCCCTATTATTACAATATAAACAATTACTTTAAATTGTTAAACTAACAATTATTATAATTCAACAAATACAACAACTGAAATCGTAATTTATGTTTAAAGTAAACAAGTAATGCAAATGGTTAATTCTCGTTATACCAAGATTCAACATTTATCTTTAACACAAGCAAAGTCAATCAAGTCCATATCTCAGCATAAATGTCCATCCTTAGGAATGCAAAACAAAGTTTTAAATCCATTATCACTTTAAATCAACTTTAAAAGCAAACAAAGTGATTTTAACTCAAAGTTGCTCAAAACAACATTATTAATGATAACAATGTCAATGTCAAATGTCAAATCATTATATAGTTCATTTTTCATCCATGTAGCAAAGTAAATTCCATCCGCCGATACCAATGACTACTGAGTTCACGATCCTCTGATGAAAGTTTTTGTAACAGATGATACAAAGTTCTCCAATGAAACAAAGTCAACAAAGAATTCAGAACCTCAGTCTTAGGCTCCATACCATTTCCATAAATGTACAGTTTCACAAAATTAATGTCCTCCTCGGAACAGTTATCTGGCAACATTACTAGTCCTTCACTTTTCACATAGTCCATCAGCTCCCATATATTTCTCATATTTAATGTTAAGATGAGGAAATGTAAAAATCCATTCACCAATTGGATCCACAGTTTTTCCTCGAATTCACCAGTTCCACACAAATGAACATCACCATGACGTTTACGCAAAAGCGAATTGTCCTTTTCCATCGATCTGCAATACCAGCACACCAATCCTGGAGTCATATACCATGGCAAATGAAGNCATACACTTTCCAGGTGAGGTGGCCCTGTTGCTGGCTAGCTGTTATTATGTATACATGTTCCAGATAAGGGGGCCCTGCTGTTGGCCAGCTGTTATGTATACATGTTCCAGATGAGGGGGTCCTGCTGTTGGCTAGCTGTTATGTATACATGTTCCAGATGAGGGGGTCCTGCTGTTGGCTAGCTGTTATTATGTATACATGTTCCAGATGAGGGGGTCCTGCTGTTGGCCAGCTGTTCTCAGGACTGTTTCATCAGACTGTGGAAAATTACACCAAGATGTGAGGAAGAAGTTGTCCAAGACTACACACAGATGGCACTTCAAGACAAGATCAGACTAAAAGAAAACACCTTCAAGGTGGTACACCAAGGTGAAGTGTAATATCAGTCAATAATCTTAAATATCTTAAATATTTTAAATCATAAAGTTGAATGATATTCTCTTGGTGCACATTCTTCTTCATTGAAAATGAGCTGTGTATATTGCATACATTCTCCTACTTTTTATATGCAGTTTTTTGTGTGCATAATCTTCTGCATTTAAAGGATTTAAAGGAGTTGTATGCTGGCGGTACTCATGGTTTTAGTCCCGACCCTTCTTGTACGGCTCCATCGGCTCCGTTGGCTCCGCAGGGTGTCGTGGGATACAAGTCACCATTACCGCTTCTCCTCCTAGACCGCAAGGACCTATGTCCCCATATCTTGGATTTATGTCACAAATAATCTCAACTTGAACCCCCTGGTATTTTTGCCTCAGTCGGTGCTTTGGCCTGGGCGTGAGGCTTGTTGAAACGAACCCTTGTCAAAATTTTTGAAAATTCAATGCTTAATATCTCCCAAACCGAAGGAATTATGGGAAAAATTACTACAGATGTCTGACCGAAAGTCATATGTGGAGATTCCAAATTTGCCCTGAGATTTGACTTTTGACCTTTATTTCAAGGTCAAACAGGCCAAAATTTTCTAAAAATGGGACTTTTCTGCAAAAAAATATTTGTATGTATCAATTTTCAGAAACTAGACAGACCTAAGCACTCATATTATGGTGAGGGGTTACAATCAGGGATTCCTTTCATCTTTTAGAGTTTGGGGTCAATCAGTGCATTATCATGGGAGAAACAGCCATAAGATGTGAAACTGAAAACTCTCTCAAATTCTGGAACCTTTAATGCCAGAGACCTTTTGAATTTTGCAATGTGTAGAACTTGTCAAGCGCAATACTGGAGGTGGTGTCCACGTTTTTGTTTTCGATACGGTTTAGGTATTGCGCTATATAGAACAGTACAACGCAATATTCAGTAGTGAAAATAAAATGTGAATTACTCCAAAATTAGCAGAGATATGCCCATAGTCCCTATTGAACTTGAATAGGAAGTCATATACTGGCAATCTAACTGTGACCTTGAAATTGACCTTTAACCTACTTTTCATGATGAACTGCACTTTGCAAGTTTTCTGATCTTTATATCTCCAAAACTGGCAAAGATACGACCATAGTTACTATTGAACTTGAATAGGAAGTCATATATTGGCAATCTGTGACCCTGAAATTGACCTTTGACCTAATTTTCACCATGAACTGAACTTTGCAAATTTTCTATCCTTTATATCTCAAAAACTGGCAGAGATATGCCCCAAGTTACTGTTGAATTTGAATAGGAAGTCATATACTGGCAATCTGACTATTACCTTAAAATTGACCTTTGACCTACTTTTTAGGATGAACTATACCTTGCATGTTTTCTGGCATTTATATCTCCAAAATTGGCAAAGAAATGTCCATGGTTAATATTGAACTTGAATAGGAAGTCATATACTGTGACCTTGAAATTGACCTTTGACCTACTTTTTCACCAAGAACTGAACTTTGCATATTTTCTTGCCCCTCATATCTTCAAAACTAGCAGAGATATGCCCAGTGTTGCCCCAAGGTTTACTCTTTTATCAGCATACTACATATGTAACAATGATAACACATTTCAAGGAAAACCAATTGTCTAGAAAATCACAGGAGTGATCATTGTAAGGAAAATACAGGTCAATTCAAAATCCTGCATGATTGGACCATTTTTGGATTTTTTTTTTTCATTTTTTTGCATATTTTGAGAACTCTTGTTAATTTCATTTTATAGAGCTTGTTAAGACTGGTGATGGTGTCCCTTTTTTTGGGGGGGGTTCCATACGAATGTGCTTACTCCAGCTGGTGGTACAATATCCGGAGGCAGTATCACCTCTCTGATCCACTAGTTTTGCATATGCTGTTAAAGAATCTAGCACTTCTATCTGAGGTGAAATCAAAGTACTGGATGGGTTTGTGTAATACATGCAAATAACTTTGTTTGTTATCATGCTGTATATGTATATTTTAGATACAGTTCTCCACTATGCAGTCATCTTAGAGTCTGTGCTGCAAGGACATGAAAACTGGATATACTCCGTACACTGGCATCCTGCTGTCTTCACAGGTAAACAACTTTATCTTCAAATATACAATGTCTTCACAGGTATAC